AGCACGTTGAGATGAATATGGATCATATGAAGATATAAAAGGGATCACATTTATTCTGAAAGGCAGACATATTAATCAATAAAACAGAACGTACGATATATACTTTACTTTTTGGTCGTTTATAATACTCTGTAAAAAAGTTGCAACATTTCCGACGGTACTTGAAGGCGGCACTACCTCACTGGCTCTCCGGTGCGCTAGAGGGCGCACTTCTCATCTCCTCTCACAATCACACGGCTCAGCCACAGACCACTGACGTGACGTGAGTGACGTGAGTGGTTCTCATGGCGCCTCTCATCCGCTGCTGTTAAACCGCGAAGCTCGGTCGGTCCTGCACGATCATCTGTGGACAACGATGATCCGAGACACTGTGACGAGACCGGGGCCAAATGGTTCTGGGTCAGAGGTCAGAGCGGCGCCATGACCGCTCCCCCTGGAGGCGGGGGTCCATCTCCACAGAGGAGGGAGGCCCGTCACCTGCAGGACACGTGGTAGGAGCTCTGCTCACTGTGTTTCATTAAACTCCTGTTGAAAGAGCAAGAGGCTTAAAGGTTCAGTGTGTAGAATTTAGTGACATCTAGTGGTGAAGTTGGATGTTACAGCTGAGTACTCCTCAGCTCACCCTCCTGTTTCAGACACTAAAGAGAACCTGTGTTAGACTTCAGTCCGTTGTTTAGTTTGTCCAGTTTTACTACTGTCAAAAACATGGCGGCCTCCGTAGAGCGGACCTGTTCCTCTCTGAAAATATAAATAATAATAAAAACGGCACATTCACAGGTAAAGAAAAGAATAAATCGTACAATTTAGATGAAACACACCAGAGAAAACATCACTTGGGTTATTTTATATTGAATTTCTGCAAATAAATCCCTGTCGCCTAAATCTAAATCACACTGGACATTTAATCATAATGGAAAACCTTATTAAGTGGAATTATTTAATTGCAGTTAATTCAATGGAGGTAGTTTTTTCCCTATTGATGAAATAGATGGTTTTGGATCTGGACAAGAGGAAAATTCTACTGCTGACAAGTGTCTGTTCTTTATGTCACAAGAGATAAATAATAATCATCTGTTTATTTGAAGATTCCAAAATTCTTATTTTCCTGAAACCTCTCTTTGGAGAAATGAGGAGCAAGAGACGAGGTCAATCTTAGATCAGTGAGACGAATGTGTTAATTTTGTGTTAAAAATATAGAAATAGATTTAAAGCAGACAGAAATAGGAGTGTTTTTAAGCTCTTGGTTGAAGGACAGGCTGAGGCGAGGGGTTTTTTCTCAGGAGCTAAATTTAAGAAGTGTGAGAAAATAGTGTAAATCTTACATTGATCTTAAATAGAGCTCATTTATGTCAAGACGACGCAGGGATCTTATTTTTAAACGTCCTGTCCTCTGGGTGGTCCCTTGTCGCAGTTGGCAAGTTGTCATAACATTTTAAATGTGGACGTTGGCCTTTCTGATATTTCTGCTCTGAACCAGTCACCCACACCCGCAGTGTAGGAACCTTTGTGCACCAGGGCGATGAGTGTCTCGGACCTGATGTCCTGCTCTGCTACATTCCAGGGCCCCTGGAGCAGCCTGTACAACAGCTGCAGGTTCCAGTGCCCCCCCCACAACATGCTGACGCTACTGCTCGTTTACTCACTACAGGAATGTGTTGACCGGTGACAAACCTCCTACACAGGTCAGTCATTGTGGCTGCACCGGTGTGGCCCGACACTTATTGCTTTAATACTCGAGTAATAACAATTAATTCATACAGATGATATTTAATGAAATTGTGTGAAATATATGTATGTAGCTTTTAAATTGTTTAAGGGGAATACTAGGAGAAATTTGGGGGAAAAAAGCTTATAGCGCCTACCTCAGGCTTATGTTCCCTACTGCAAATATCTACTTAACGAAACAAAGCTATGAAAAAGCCTGCACAATTTGATGTGCTGCAAAATTAAAATGAATATATAGACAATATAAATAAATTAAATCAACTTGATTAACTTTTACCAAACTGATCAAAAATACACAAAGAAGCATCAGCTTTAGTTTCAGTATAAACAACCTTCCTCTTAAATAAAGTTTCAATCATGACATCAGATAAAATACAACGTCCATGACCAAAATCACATTAAAACGAATGGTAAGTAGGAAACACAAGATTAATCGTGAGTCGGATCAGGAAGTAGCCGGGGGCCGGGCCTAATTAGATCTCGGACGACCAAAGCCTGGGTTAGCATTAACTCAGTGTGACTGTAAATCTTTTGTAATTGTTTTAAAACAGGACACAAGATGCTGCAGCTGCTTCAGGGTAAAAATCCCTTTGCAGTGACGGCAGCCTGAGCTCAGCACATCACTGGTAGATACACAAACAAACAAACATATAAATCAATGAATTCTGACTGATGTGATGAACCTGCTGTGACACGTAGCATAGGCTAGATCTATTTTCTAATATATGCATCAGACAGAATGGAAATATGTGAGACTCAGTTAATTTGTCCCTGATTCATTTTTATAGGATTAATCTCACTTGTCACTTTTACCTGATGGAGCAGTCTCACATGTGACCAGCAGAGGTCAGCACATACCCACATAAGCTTATAGGCCTATTCTTCTTCTTTTTTGATGAAAGGGCTTTGTCAGGTTCAGAGAGCGCTGACGCAACTATTGCAAAGCGTGAGTCTTCACTTTAATACTTGTGTGAGGTTGATGCACAATAAAAAAAAAGCATACATGTATATTCAGTGTTCAGAAAATGTTTTTTCAACCGAAATCTGAATTGTTGGTTCAGTTTTATTTGTGTAGCATCAACATTAACAGCAACAATAAACAGCACACACAAAAGTGAATACAAGTTCAGTCAGAGATGATGCTCCGTGTTTTTTGAGGGAAAGAAGAGATGAGAGAATCAAGACCAAAGAAGGAAATAATGAAATCTGGTCCGATGTAAGGTTTATTCTTCAAAGTGTAGCATCTGATAAAGCTTTGTAGCAGAGGGGTTTTCCTATATAAACGTTTTTACATGTACTTTCCACTCTATTTACCTGTTCTGTATAGTTCCTGATCCTATATCAGTGGATATGTGAACCAGATGACCTGAGATCATTAACGCTGTAATGAAAGACAGACGGCAAAGACAACGGAATAGCTGAGGAGGAGGAAAAAGAGGGAAAGAACAGATGGAAGACGGTTTTGCAAACAATCGAATCGGGAGTGTGCGAGAAAATAAACAAGTGACTGGAAGGATAAATAAAGAAAGAGCAGAATAAGGAGGGAGAGAGTGTGCCGAGTGAGTCATTGCATTCATTGTGTGTATGAGGAGCGCGGCAGACAAGTCACTTTATATTCGCAGCCCTGTGTGGTTTTAATCCAGCTCCATATGTCTGAATTCAGGTGGGCCCCTAGTGGTAATGTGAGAGGAGACGATTACAGTGAGATGAAGAGATACTCGCAGTAATCCATCGTCTGCACTGAGACGGAGAAACATCAGGAGCTGGTTACAGGCGGGTATTTAGAAGGCAGCAGTGCCAGCCTGGAGTCAGCCAGAGCTGCAGAAAGGCCCCTGATTCAACCCTCCGCTCTGTTCTGCTCCACTCGCTCTGTGATTAAAGAGAAAGGAGGGCACTCACACACACACACACACACACACACACACACACACACTCACACACACACTCACTCTGAACAGATATTGTGGTTGTCTTTAACGTAAGCAGTGCTGCAGCCTTTCCTGCGGACCACACTGAGTCATGACACACCATCAGACTCCCAAAGCGCCTGTGCTGCCCTCTCACTCGTCTACTCGATGGACAAAATGAAACGCAGGCACGGTGCAAGTTGCAAAATGGAAAAGTAATCCTTTTTATTTTTTTTCAGTTTCCATCACTCTGCCGTTCTCTCCCGCTGTGTAGCCCTCAAAGTGTATATGTCTGTGTGTTGGAGGGTGCAGGAAGAGGAGGAGGAGGAAAAAAGAGGCAGGAGAGGATGGTGAGATCGTGTGAAGGAGGCAGAGAGATAGATAGAGAGAGAGAGAGAGGCAGGGAAATGAACACAT